AATTTGGGCATTTTGGGTGAAATTTGGAATTTTGGTCAATTTTGGGGTTTGGGGGTATTTAGATAATTTGGGTAGATTTGGGGTGGGGAAGGTAAAGTTGGATATTGTCGGCACTATTTTAGTTGGAGGAGTTGCCCGTTAGAAGCTGTCGGCCGTCGGAAACAAAATCCCGTCACCTGCTTCGGAAGGATGTTTAATTTATCTAAAAATATGAAATCAAACTGACTTCATATTTTTCATAGTTTAAATGAAAGAGCGCTATACCTCAACCCTGTATCTATCCCGAAGGATGAACACGAGACTTGAGGATGAGGCTCAATCAAATAAACTAAGAGATATATGACGTCCATTTGGTATGCGAAACCATTTTATTTGTTGATAAGTTCCCCTATTTAATACAAAGAATTAAATAGGGTTTATATTAAGCTGGGTTCAACCAAGCTTTCTATAAGGGCAAGCCCTTATAGTTAATTACATCTTAGATAACCGAAGTCACCTAAGAAAACTCTCAATAAAAATCAGGAAATATTATCCTAAAAGAGGTCAAAAGGATAGGACTTTTCAAAGATATTAGACAAAGAGGTGTGAAAGGGGAATGATTCAAATTTGGAACATCTTTTTGCATAGTTCAGATGAGGGAGAACTAGGGGATGTCATCGATCCAGAGGGGAACCTCAGTGACTTTCCAAGCTATCCTATGGTTTGACTTCAATTTAGAGGAGAAATTATTTGAATGTTTCATCCTGCAAATTTTATTAGTTTAGGGCTTACATTTGTGTGAAACAATCACACAAATAGCCGAAAGATGTGAGGATTTAGGTCGTGAAGAACGACAACCTCAGAATCCTAAGACAAGTTAGGCCTTATATTGTATAGTAGAGTTATACAAAGTCCTAAAGATAAGTTGAGGATTTATGTTCCATAAGCAAACAACCTCGAAATCCTATGGTTTATTATTTAATTCTAAGGAAGGAATGATTTAGTTGGGGAAGACATGTTTTGCTGTTGAAAATGGCTGTGCTGCCCACTTTGCTAGCTCCAAGCTCCTTTCCGTGACGAGGTTAAATTTTCTAATGTGTCAAGTTATGATGTCAAATCAGATGTCCCTATGGTTGTAGTTCGTTAAATATTATGGGGGCATGTTAAAGTTAATTAAAGCGACATCGGTTAGGATCCTACGATTCCATCATTCCGGTACCACTATTTTCTATTAGATTGACTTAGTTTAAATGAAATTACCAAACTCAACTTAATGAATTCTATATTTTCATTTAGACCGTGGAAAGTTTCATTAGCAACTTGAGTTTACCTCCTCCGAGGGGTATTGTTTCGTGATGTTTGTGATTAAATTTTGAATTGTCTTATATTTTAAATTTTGTGATTAAATCCAAAAGATAAAATTTAAAATAGAGGGGTGAATTTTATCTTAGTTGATTTTAGTTTTAGTTTAAGTTTTAGTTTTACAGCTATCCTATCAGTTTTGGTTTTCATGCAGGGTGTCATCGTTGTTTAACATACAAGTTTATAAGTATAGAAGTACAGTGCGGAAAGTAAAAGAGAAGACATACATTAAACTATAAAAGCGTACCTGATGAGTATTCTCGTTCCTCCACCTGAAAAGGCAGTACTTGTAAGGCATGTTTATAATACTGTAAGTAATTTAAATTGTTTGAGTAGATGAAGGTTTAGTTACCAAACACTAAGTTATGATTTTTTTGAGTCTTAGAAGATCCTAGTGGATTATCTTAGAAGAAAGTATGACAAGTTCCTGCTGGGAAGATACCGGCTCTCACTTCAGAGCTCCCATATTCCCCTCACCTGAGGGCTAACATCTACACTTCAGAACCCAAACGATAGGACAAAATTGAGGATTTTAGCCTGTTACTCTAAAATCTCCAATTCTACACCCGATAATTTTTATTTCCCTATTTATCTGCACCCAACTTTCAAGGACTTTGACCTCCATAGATCTTGGATGTAATCCTCACTTTAGTTGTAAAACTCAACATATTTTAACAAATCTTGGCCAGATTGAAAGTAAATTAAGATTGAAGTGAAAAGATTATCACAACTTCTTTAACATTCTCATGGCACAACCAACTCAAATCACCATTTCACAAAATCTCAAGATAAGGAGAAAGAAAAATAAAATTACTCAGAACTCATGGAGAAGATACGACAAAACTTGGAATTTATATATAAAAGCAAAGACATACAAACTTCAATAAGTAAATACAACTTATCTATAATTCCTTCCCAAGCAAACTCCTCGATGTTCCTATGATTCTCTTCCTTTCTTTACAACACACATAACTCTCATTCGAAGCGGTAAGGAGGAAGAAATCTCTCTCTTTTCTTCCACTCTTACAATCTCTCAAGGAATTCCTCACAATACTAACCACCCTCTACACTCTAATGGGCACCACAAACAACAAAGACTCCGCGGACACACCCTATGGACTCACGTGGACACACCTCTCTTGACCTCCAAATTATTTCTTTTAAAGTTGTAGAAGAGTTTTCAAGAGTCGCCCAAGCGTCCCTTATAAAATTGTCAACATTCAATGCATCTATTGAGAGAACCGGAACCGCCGTGCTCGCCGTCGATGGCCTCGATGGTGCCATCGGCGGCCTTCTAGAATATTTAATTCTGGACTCTCGGGAAACCCGCCGTCGGTGGCGTCGAGCCCGCCGTCGGCGCCCAAGATCAAATCTCCATATTTTGGTCCTTTTTGCTCCAAATTCGCTCCTTCTTGCATCTTTTTGCTCCAATGATCATAATTCAGCATACCTGCAACAAAACATCAAAAATAATTTTCTTTAAAGTGCAATATCATCAAAATCAGTGTAAATTAGGTACAAAAATCTCAACATATTTTTCCTTGGTCAAAATCCCCCAAACTTAATTATTACTTGTCCTCAAGTAATTTTAGTACTACATAAAAGTTATGATCTACTGTGGTAAAGTTTTAAGCTTCTCCTCACTTATATATATATATATATACATATATATTGGTGAAAGGGGCTTTATTCGTCTCCTTAAATGTTGATAATAAAAGTGACTACAAAAGAGGGAGTGTTCCCTAACTCAAACAAAACTCACATAGCACCCTCCAAGGGATACCCAACCTCAGACATGTAGGACTCTAGCAAAAGGAAACTAAAACAAACTCTAAATATCTATATATATGTGATAGCCATATATATATATATATATATGCATGACTTAAACAAACATCAAGAACCATTCAACCAGACAGGGAATAGTAGGTGGATAGCCAGCTTGATCAGTAAATGAGTTGAAGCTTCAGAGGAGAGCCCGGGATTTCAGTTCTGAATTCTGAGATATGGAATTTGAAGTTTGTCTCCTTGTGTTAAAAGTTGTAGAGGGAGAGGGATAATAGTTGAGACCACAGCAAGGCTCAAGTTTGAGCCTTCAAAAGCCAAGAAATTAGTAGGCCTATTAGCTTCCCTATAATTAAACTTAATTTGGAACTTGATCTCAGTGATGATCTTCTTTATTCTATAGATCCACTGGTTGATGTGCCAAGGGG